TACATCAGCCCAAAATGCTCAGCTGCTGAGTGCTTGAGACTTGTTTACATTTCTTCTCATTTCAATGGGGGGGGGGGCTGGATGTGTGGTGCTGGTGCCTGTGAGGTTTACCTCCTTTGCACTGGGGGAGGTGGTACAGCAGCCCAGAAGGTTCACCTCCTCTGAGCTAGGGGCAGCTCTGCTCCTCAGCGCTGGGGGCAGTGGTGACTTTTGTCTGATTGTTGTTTGTGCACCATGGTCTTTTCTAGATTAGGTTTGTGTGTGTTTCCTTCTTTACAATCTTCTCTTCCCCCCAGAATAATCTAGGTTGATTTATAATTAAACACACATACAAATATAGAATAATTTTTACTCAGTAGAGTAAATAAAATCAATACCATAAAAAGAGTAGAGAAAATATATTCATCTGAGAGCCAGTACAATTACTAGGATTGAAGTTTAAATCTGACTTGAGCCTTCTGCTTCTGGGAACAAAGAGAAGCATCATGAATGTGTGCTGAGGAAACTCAGGATAAGAGAAATGTCTCCCTGAAGATCCACCAGGCACAGCCTCCTGGAGAACAGGGCCTTTGGGCTGGGCCTCAGAGCTCAGGATGTTAGGTAGGAAGCTGACTGTTTTGGCCACCATGACACCCTCCTCTGCACTGGCCATGGCAGTGTGGTGGGGGCTATGTCTTCACCAGAGAGTGGAGAAGAAGGACAGGTGGTTTGAACCAAAAGGCAGCCCCAGGGGGGTCACTGGCTGGTCTGAGGTTGCTGCTGAGCTTGTCCCCTTTGCCCTTCCTTTCAGAACAAGTACCAGGGCTTCATATTTGATATTGTGACCAAGCAAGCCTTTGATGTCACCATTATGTTTCTTATCTGCTTGAATATGGTGACCATGATGGTAGAGACTGATGACCAAAGCCCTGAAAAAGTGAACATCTTGTCCAAGATCAACTTGCTCTTCGTGGCCATCTTCACAGGCGAGTGTATTGTCAAGATGACTGCCCTGCGCCACTATTACTTCACCAACAGCTGGAACATCTTTGACTTCGTGGTTGTCATCCTCTCCATCGTGGGTGGGTATGCAAGACAGCTGAACAAGGAGGGCAGAGCATAACCATCATTGTCTAATTTTATAATTTTTTCTCACCCCTAAGAGAAATTCCACTCATGAGTAGTCATTCTCCACTTCCCCTCTCCCACAGCTTCTAGCAACCACTAATCTAAAGTGTTTGTGGCGAGGAGGGTTGGGAGGATACTGGAGATCGAACTGGGGACCTTGCGCTTGCAAGGCAGGTGGCAGCACCACTGAGCTAAATCCCTGGCCCAACTAATCTAACGTTTTGAGAGACAAACTGTTTTCAGGGTGGCTGCATCATTTTACATGCTCACTGTAAATCTATGAGAATTCCCATTATTCTACTTTCTCACCAATACATGTTATTGTCTCTAGTTTTTTATTATAGCCCTGGTGGGTATGAATGCTCATGAGGTTTTATTTTATACTTTCCTGGTAACTGATGATGCTGGACATCTTTGCTTGTGCTTATTGGCCATTTGTATATCTCCCTTGGAGAAATCTTTGTTCAAATCCTTTGCTTCATTTTAAAAATTGGGTTATCTTTTTATTGTTGAGGTGTAAGAGTTCTTTATATATTCTGAATATTAGTCCCTTACGAGATATATGAATTGCCAATATTTTCTCCCTATCTGTGAAGTTTGGTGGTATCTACTGAAGCACAGGAATTTTTTGCTGTTGTTTTAGTTTGGTTTTTTTGGTACCAGGGATCGAACTCGGGTCCTTGTGCTTGCGAGGCAGGTGGCAGAACCACTGAGCTAAATCCCCGGCCCTAGAACAGGAATTTTTAATATTAACAAATTCTAATTCTAATTTATTTTATGTATATTTTATTTTGTCACATTGTGCTCAGAGCCCAAACCCTTTACCTTACCTCAAGGGTACCTCTGCCTTTGGGATGATTCTGACTTCTGTGTTTCTGCCTCTGGTGAACCCAAATGGTAATGCAGAGGCCAAGTCAGGCATGGCTGTTACTGCAATGGTGGGCAAATGGTTAGAGGCGTGAAGGAAGGTCAGGAATGCCTTAATGTCCCAGGTGGAGGTGAGGGTGACAGTTGCCTCATGGAGCTGGGGAGACCCTTTAGAGACTGCAGGACATGAGCAGCAGGAGTGAGCCATGGAGGAAGAATCACAGGAGGACTTAGAGGTGCAGCATGTATCTCAGGATGGCCTGTCCCAGTGTGTGAGCTATGCCAGGAGCCATGGTTAAGAGGACAGCCTGGGGCTGGGGATTGAGCTCAGTGGTTTCGCTGCCTGCTGCGCAAGCGCAAGGACCCAAGTTCCATCCCCAGTACCAAAAAAAAAAAAAGAGGACAGCCTGGATGGAGCCGGTGTATCTGGGTCAAATCCTTGCTTCTCACTTAGGTGGCAACTTGAGTAATTTACGTCACCTCTCGGTTTTCCTCTTCTGGAAAATGAGGATGATGGTATCAGCTCAGTTTCCCAGGGTGATGGGAAGGTCAGAATGGAATGATGGTCATAAAGTGCTTGGCTCAGTGCCCTATTGACACATGTCAGCCATCAAATTATTATTATATGAGGACCTGGAAAGGTCACTTGGACCAATACAAGGTAAGTTTATTTCATGCTTTCTTCTATAATTTATACCCAAGTTCCTTAAAACTCCAAATCCAGGTAGTCACTAGAGACCCAAGGGTGGGGACACCCTAGAAGGAAGCAAAGCTGAAAGGTGACAGGAACCATCATAGAAAGGAGGAGAAAAGCGACTGAGGCATGGTATGGTTTGAGGAATATTGGTTTGGGGCCAGTGTTTCTTGCCCCCCACCACACATGGATGAATTGTCCAGGCTTGTTAAAAGAAATAGGCTGGTAGTGGGGCTGAGATTTTGCATTTCTAATAGGCACTCAGAGTCCATGATCGCCGGCCCTCAGACTGCATTCTGAGTTCTAGGCTGCCAAGATGCTAAGTAAGTGAGTCCCCTCTAGCCTCAGAACCCACGGTGTAGAAGGTGGATACAACTCCATTGTGCAGGTGTACCCTGAGCTTTGCTAGGGATGTCGGTCCCAGGGAGGTGAGAGGAGGCAGAGTGCATCATGCTCATTGGACCCAGTCCTCCTGCAAGGGCCTCCTCCCCTTGGCTCCTCACTGAGCAGAGAGTAGTGCGGGCCTGGGAGGACGACAGTGTGCTGTCAGTGGCCACAGTCTCTGCTGTTCTCCACAGGCACGGTGCTCTCTGACATCATTCAGAAGTACTTCTTCTCCCCGACGCTCTTCCGAGTCATCCGCCTGGCCCGAATTGGCCGCATCCTCCGACTGATCCGAGGGGCCAAGGGGATCCGCACGCTGCTCTTTGCCCTCATGATGTCCCTGCCCGCCCTCTTCAACATTGGGCTGCTGCTCTTCCTTGTCATGTTCATCTACTCCATCTTTGGCATGGCTAACTTTGCTTATGTCAAGTGGGAGGCTGGCATCGACGACATGTTCAACTTCCAGACCTTCGCCAACAGCATGCTGTGCCTCTTCCAGATCACCACATCGGCTGGCTGGGATGGCCTCCTCAGCCCCATCCTCAACACGGGGCCCCCCTACTGCGACCCTAATCTGCCCAACAGCAATGGCTCCCGGGGCAACTGTGGGAGCCCAGCCGTGGGCATCCTCTTCTTCACCACCTACATCATCATCTCCTTCCTCATCGTGGTCAACATGTATATCGCCATCATCCTGGAAAACTTCAGTGTGGCCACAGAGGAGAGCACTGAGCCCCTGAGTGAGGATGACTTTGACATGTTCTATGAAATCTGGGAGAAGTTTGACCCAGAAGCAACCCAGTTCATCGAGTACTCAGCTCTGTCCGACTTTGCCGATGCCCTGTCTGAGCCACTTCGTATCGCCAAGCCCAACCAGATCAGCCTCATCAATATGGACCTGCCTATGGTGAGTGGGGACCGCATCCACTGCATGGACATCCTCTTTGCCTTCACCAAGAGGGTCCTGGGAGAGTCTGGGGAGATGGATGCCCTAAAGATCCAGATGGAGGAGAAGTTCATGGCCGCCAACCCATCCAAGATCTCCTATGAGCCCATCACCACCACGCTCCGGCGCAAGCATGAGGAGGTGTCGGCCACAGTCATCCAGCGGGCCTTCCGGAGGCACCTGCTGCAGCGCTCTGTGAAACATGCCTCCTTCCTCTTCCGCCAGCAGGTGGGCAGTGGTGGCCTCTCGGAAGAGGATGCCCCCGAGCGAGAGGGCCTCATTGCCTACATGTTGAATGAGAACTTCTCCCGGCAGGACAGACCACCCTCCAGCTCCTCCATTTCCTCCACATCCTTCCCACCCTCCTATGACAGTGTCACCAGGGCCACTAGCGATAACCTCCAGGTGAGGGTGTCTGACTATAGCCACAGTGAGGATCTCGCGGACTTTCCCCCATCCCCGGACAGGGACCGAGAGTCGATAGTGTGAGCCCAGCCCCACCAGCCAAGACACACGCTCTTGCACCATGGCAAACCTGAATGCAGTCAAAACCAGCATGCTGGGGCCTTCCTGGCCTTGAGCTTCAAGAGAGAGAGATGGCCTTGGCCAGTGGCTCCACACGGCAGAGATCTGTGGTGTTGTGTCATCAGACAGAAACAGGAGGAGCCCACTATTCTGGAGGCTGTCCCTGGAGCCCTGCACAAATCAGGGGCCTGGCCTAGTCAGGTGGCACCCTGGGCTCTGCAAAGCACTCATCATCGCAGCTGTTGAAGTGAAACATAAAACAGACTGTACATGTTGTGAATGGGCTTTCGTAAATTTACTATATTTGATATTTTTTTACTTGAGCAAAGGACTAATGTTTTTTCCATGGATGTTGGCAGCAATTCGTGCTGCATCTTCTTAATCCAGAACAGGAATGTCTAGGGAGCTGCCAGACTCTGTCCTGCAAGAGTGGAATGCAGTATGGCTCCCATAGGCCTTCCCCACCCGAAGGAGGGACAGGTCCTCTGCTGCTTGGGCTGAGGGGGCTGAGGCTCTTCATTCACACACACATGCACACACTCCTTCCACACATGAGGGCAGACCCAGGCCACAGAGGCCCGGGCACCCCTCGAGCAGTGTCAGACAGCCACCTCTGTCCCAACCTCCTGAGTCCATGGATGGAGTTTCTGTCATTGGAGCTCATTCTGACCTTCCATTGCCCCCGGGGTCCTGTTTTTCCCCTGTGTTTTTATGCAGGCCACATTGGTCAGTCCTACGAAAATAAAAAGCTTCCAGAAGACTTGCCTGGGCCCCAGGACTGGTCCTGGGCACGGATGTTGGCCTTTCTTCCCTCCTGTAAGAGTATTAACACTAAAACCCATGGGAATGAGGGTACCAGCCCAACTCACAGCCGGGCTTACAGCTTGTCCTTGCTCTTAGAACCCGGCAGGCCCCGCCTGACAGGCCAGGGATGAGAAGGCTGAGCCATGAGGTTGAGGCTCAGTTTACCCACTTGCAGCTGTGTTGGCCTCCAGGCCCACGTGAAAGAAGCCACTGCTGTCTGCCAGCCTCTCCCTAGGACTCTGGCCTTGTGGGGAGGGAATCCCGCCTGGACCCCAGCTTTTCTCCAGATGCAGCATCGTGAAGTGGGGAGGGTAGCTTGGGTTCATCGGAAATGACTCCCAGGATGGCCAGGCCTGGCTCTTGTCCCTGGGGGTGGACAAAACCATGAGCCCCTCTGGGAAAGGAGGCCAGAGCCTGGTGTACCCACATGCAGGACTTCCTTGGGACAGGATTGGGGATGTCCCATAGGTCTTATAAGAAGGCTTTTTCAGGGAAAAACACCTTACTAGTCCAATTACCCCCAGGACCTCTATAGCTGCTGACAATCCTATTTAGCATATGCAAATCTTTTAAAGTAAAGCACTGTTGCCTGAGGTGACAGGGTTGCTGGTGGAGCCTGAGCAGGCAAGAGCCCCACTGGCAGTTAGCTCCTCAGCAGAGCCGCCTCCTGCTGGGGCGACCACCTCACAGGCCACCTCAGTCTCACCCGCCTGCTCTAGGCTGGCTCTCCTCACCTACCTCGCCACGCTGTCGGAGGGCTAGATGATCACGATGCTCATGGCAGTGCTGAAGGGGGCGTTGCCGGCGCGTAAAGTATTATGTTTCTTGTCACCCTAGTTCCCTCGGTGGCAACCCCAGCCCCACCCCCACCCCTAGAGACTCCTCCCAAGTACCCTTTGAGTCCATAGTGGGACTTGGTTTTAACTGTCCCAGTGACACTTTTCCGAGTGGAAATCTTATTTTTGTAGACCTGTGCTTTGCTCTCAAGGATTGGAGAAGTGTGTCCCTCACCCCCCTGTCCACAGGAATGTAGCCAGGCTCCCTGCCCGCCAGCCGGAAGGAGACTGTGGTCTGTGTGTGGACAGCCCTGGAGCCTGGAGACAGGTGCTGGTGCTGGCTGCAGGTGGCGCTGAGGGCAGGGCCAAGCTGGCTCCTAAGGTCAATATGGCTCTCCTTTTTTTCCAGAACTGCACAGTGACCAGCAGGAGGGGAGAATAAGGAGGAAGAGGGGGAGGGACATGCCTCAAGTGCCAGATGTTGTTGAACCAATTGAGCACTTCTCACCAAACTTCGTGTATAAATAAAATACATATTTTTAAAAACAAACCAATAAATGGCTTACATGACCTGGTCTAGGCTCTGTTCTTGTATTCAGACTTGACAAGATTGGTGGCACCTTCTCAAGAAGGCTGTCAGGAGGCCTCGGCCAGAACAAGACTGAAGAGCGGGGTGCTGAGGTGGGGGGATCCCAATAACCAGGAAGAACTTCAGGTTGTTTTCCCTGGAAAGTGGCTGGAAAGATGGCCCAGGCCAGCACAAGTGGGGTGTGGGCAAAGCAGTGTGCCCTTGTGATTGGTGCCTGGGCACTGTGATGGGGTGGCCCCCACCCAGAATCAAGCCAGGGACAGCTCCCAGGGCAGGAGTCACAGCTGCCTTGAATCTGTGACCACTGGCTCTGACTTGTCTTCTCCTCCCTTCACTCCTCAGTCCACTGTGGTTCCCTGTTGCCAGCCCACCACCGGCCAAAAGTGCTCCTCAAGCCTGCAGGACTTCCCGGGGCTCCAGTGATACCTTTTCTTCTCACATCTGTGCCTCTCCACAGCATTTAGCTTGATGGACAGCAGCCCCCTCTCTGGATATCCTCCCCTGACTTCTGTGGCCATGTCTTCTGCAGCATTTCGCCTCTTCTGTGCTAAAATGTACATAGTATAAAATGTATGACCTTAACCATTTTCAAGTGTACAGTTCAGTGGCATTAAATGCATCCATACTGTTACACAATCATCCCCACTGTCCATCCCCAGAACTCTTCCTCTTGGGGAACTGAAAGTCTGTAACCCACTAAACACAACTCCTCAGTCCTCCCTCCCCCACCTCTGGCAAGCACCATTCTGTGTCTATCTCCATGGTTTTGACTCTTCTGAGTGCTTTGGATAATTGGGATCACACAGCATTTGTCTTTTCTGACTACATTACCTCACTTAGAGTAATATCCTCAGGTTCATCCCTTTCACAACCTGTGTAGCAATGGCCTTCCTTTTTAAAGCTGAATAATATTCCATTGTGTGCATAAACCAGTTGTGAACGTGAGTGTACAAATACCTCTTCCAAAGCCTACTTTGAACTCTTCTAGGTCTTTACCCAGAAGTGAAGTTGCTGGATCAGACAGTAATTGTTTCATCTTGTAAAGAGCTGCCAGGCTGCCTTCCCTGGGGAATGTACCATTTCCAACTGTACAGTGGCTCCAGTTCTTCCACATCCTCACCAGCAGTTGTTTTGTGTTTTTCTTTTGATACAGCACCAGTCCCAATGCTGAGATGGTATCTCCTTTTAGGTTTGATTTACATTCCTAGTAACCAGTGATGCTGAGCATGTTTCTATGTACTTATCGGCCATTTATAAATCTTCTTTGGAAAAATATCTGTAACAAGTCCTTTGGTCAGTTTTTAATTGTGTTTTTTTCAAGTTTGAGGAATTCTCAAATATATCATCAGATATATGATTGTGGATTTTTTTCTCCCATTCTGTGGGTTGCCATTTTATTGTGGTGCTATATTGTCTTTGGACACAGAATTTTCTTATTTTCGCAAAGTCCAATCTGTCTTGTCTTTTCTGTTGTTGCCTGTGCCTTCTCCCATCTTTTTAATTATGCCTTTTTGGCTTCTGTTTCTATTCTGACTAAAGTCCAAGTTCTTTAGGCCTTAGGTTCTGTTCCAGGAAGACTGAAACACATTCAAAACAAACATGACCTTTTTTTGTTTCTGATATGATGGATTGAACCCAGGGCTTTCATAGTGAGTTACATCCTCACCCACATTTTTTTTTTTAATTTTTTTGTAACAAAATCTTGTCAAACTGCCCAGACTGGTCTTGAACTTGCAATGTTCCTGCCTCAGCCTCCCAGAGTGCTGGTCATAGAAGTATGTGCAACCACACCTGACTTTGAAGAAGAGTCTTAAATCTTATTTTTTTCCCCAGGGCTGGCAATTGAAACCAGGGCCTTGCACATGTAGGCCAGTGTTCTATCATTAAGCTACAGCCCCACCTCAAGAAGCTTGAGTCATTTTCCTGAGCCCCAGCATCCCCACCAGCCTCCATGCCAGTATATCCAGCTGCCTACTTTGAGCATCTCCAAACCCCTTCCAACACTGAACTCCTCTCACCCCCAAGCCTAGCTGTCAAGGCATGCCCACAGGTGCCATGTTCACCACTTGCTGCCCCTCACCCACTCACTCAGTCCAAGACTTGTGGCTCAACCTTCTTAGCATCTTTCAAATACTGCCATGTGGTTCCATCTTGTCACCCCTTGCTTGGTTGGGACCAGCATCTTGCCTATGGAGACTGCCAGGCCAGTTCCTTCCTCTAACCACATCCATTCCAAACTCTTCACACAGCTGTCCCAGTGATATTTTAATCTAAGATCATCACTCCCTGGGTGAAATTTCTTAGTGGCTTCCTGTTGTCTCAGGATCAAGGCAAACTCCCCTGGCCCTCTAGCCCTGCCAACCTCTGTAACTATATCTCTCCAATAAGGCTCCAGGCTCTTCCTCCCCAGCCTTGCCAACTGCTGCTCCCTCTGTGAAGAAACCTACTCTCCTTTCTGCTCAGCTTCTCTTCCTCTTTCCTTTCTGGTCTCAGCAGAATGCCCCCTCCCAAGAACCTTCCTCATTACCCACCCCATTCTTGACACCTCCCCTGTCACAGCACTCATACCCCTCACAGACACCTGGGAAGCCTAAGTATGTGAACAAACATGGCCCCTGGGAGAATAGAATCTGACCTCTGTTTTGTCCCTCCCTCTCCCTTTCAGCATTATTCAGTGGAGACCATCCTCCCTGCCCCTGGGTAAGACCCAGGCAGACACTCGAGCATTTGGGCTCAAATAACAGAGCATCAGTCTGCAGTCACTTTTCTTATAAAGACAGCCTCAGTTTGCAGAGTGGTGGAGTGGCATCAGCTGCCCAGGCCAGGCAGATGGTTGATGGGGCTCAGGCAGGAATGTTTGAGAGCTTTGTGGAGACTCCCTACTGGACCTTTTGCAGTTTCCACAGCCCGGGCAATGTAGTGTCTTCTGGGGGCCCCTGGGGGTACCTCTTCCCTTGCCCCAACCCCAGCCTCTTCCTGCCAAGGCCCTCTCTGCCTACCCTCCTGGTCCCTGGGAAACACTCAGAGCACTGCCCCAGCCACTCTGGGCAGGGGCTATGCATGACAGCAGCCCCCAGCGGAGCAGCAGGCTCAGCTCCCGTCAAGTTTCCTCGGCCAGAGTCAGACCACAGTCACCCTTCACTTGCTTTCTGAGCCCAGCAAGGTCCACTTCTCCATGTCTTGACATCTCAAAACTCTCTGGGAGGCCCCTTGAATCCCCCTTGGCAGGCCCCCCTCAGGAAGGTCTCCTTTAGGAGGCCCACCTCAAGAGAAGGTGCCAGGGCTCCACGCACAGCACAGAGACAGCTCTCCCCAAAGAACATTGCTCACAGGTCCCTTCAGCCCTTCCTTGCTCTCTCAGATGCCATTTTATATCTTCACATAACTCAGGGCTCTGCGTGTCTGGTAACATTTTCTTTGTAAATAATCTGCCCATGGGGTTTGGTACTCTGAAATGCTTGATCTTGGTCCTTTGGTCAAAACCAGAGCAGGGAGGGTCCACTCTAAGCTCCTATGACTTCTACTTAGTTGTCTTTCTCCAGCCAGACCAGGGTTTCCCAAACAGCAGATCAGTGGACCATCACAGTCAGCTCTTTTCCAGAGAGCATCAGAGCATGAATCAGTGGTGCCCCTGGTGAGGTAAGGACGAGTCCTGTTCTGTGAAACTGTTGTGTCAGACGTGTATGGAACCTGGGGAGTGCCTGTGTGTGTAACCCAAATGACAGCAGATACCTCTCTGAACAGAACTGAAAGGAAACATAAAGAAGGGATCCACATCTGTTCCTTACCATTGCATCCTGGGAGCTTGCTCAATGCTGGGACACATAGGAACTCAGTAACTGTCTGTGGGGTGTGCAAAAGCAGGCGGGTCCAAGGCTGTGACCCTCTGCCCTGCAAGGCAGTGAGTGGGTTAGGTCTCCACTGTCACAAGCCCCAGGAACACTGATGCTCCCTTGGGCTGGGCTTACTGCTCTGGAAGCCAAAGCTTGGGAGTCTGGGGTTCGCAGCCCTTGGTCTTTCCCAGCTACCTGCTGGGCCTTCACTTGCCCTGGGACATGGGTGGGCTCACCTGGAGGTAGGGGCAAGTAGGGCCAGGACCAGGCCTGTGCTTGTTGCAATGCCACAGCTGTCACTGGGCCACGCTGATGTGGGGCTGGGGTCCAGGTAGCCAGTGGCTCTGTGAGTGACAGACGCCAGCTCCTGTGTCAGAGGGAAGGCACACAGCCCGGGATCTCAGCCCTTGGCAGGAAAAGAGATGCTCCTGGACAAATGTCAGCTCTCACCCTGGGGCCATGACGTTGGCAGCTCCCCTGCCCCTGTGCCAGCCGCTCCTCCACCATCAGTCCTGACAGCCACGAGACTCTGTGCCCAGGAGACTGGGAGCATCAGGGAGACAGAGGCCCAGGCCCTCTACACGGCAGGCAGCAATGTGGCAGCAACTGAGAGCAAGGCCAGAGCGTGGCAGCAGACCCCAGTGGGCTCAAGGTGGCCCTAAAGACTGGGATTTCCTGGCCCTGCTGCTACAGTCTTCTGTGCAGACATTGAGCCTCTGCACCCCACCACCTCCAGGCTCTGAGCAGTCTCTGTGTCAGTCTCCAGGACAAAGGCCAGGCTAGGCCTGTCTGTTCACACCTGTGTCTCCAGCCCCTAGCCAGATGAGATATTAGGAATGTTTGCAGGAGAAGCAGACCAAGTGACCCATCAATCCCCTCTCTGCTGGGTTCCCCTGGATCCTCCTCTCCTTTTAAACCTGTCCTGTCTCTGAGGCCCTCTGCCCCTTTTCTCTGCAGCAGCCCCACCTTCCACTGTTATTCTGGAAGAAGGCCAGATGCAGAGCCATTTGAGATCCTCATCCAGATGGAAAAACACACGTGGGTTCACACACGTACACTCTTGCACACATAGACACAAAGCTGATAATGAGAATCAGTGTTGGGGAGGGGGATGGGGGCTGAGGACAATGTCTGAAATCCCAGGAAC